GTGGATCACTGTCAGTTCGTCCTTCCAGTGCAGAGCCTCTCTCCAATCCAAGGAAGGGGCCAGATCTAGATGGGAGCGCTGTCAGGAGGGGTGTCCTAATGTGTGTGTCCACAACAAATGAGTGAGTTGGAATTCAGAGTTTGTTCTCAGGCGTTTGGAATTCGACTGGCAAGAAAAAATTTTGTCTTTTTTTTTTTTGAAGGGGGGCCTCTATGTGAATAAAAGAATTATGTGAACCATATTTTATATGTGCGGATGAGAGAAGCAAGAAACAGGAGGAAAAATGAAGCTAGCCCAGAGAAACACAAAGGTGAGAGTTCCAGAGATGATGAGCAGAAATCTCAACAGTCTTCTAGGTCCTGATAACAGTTCTTAAAGCACTCTTATACTGTTGGCCATATTAGAAATAAATTTATAATAAGTAATTTATAATTAAAATGAACTCCCTTTTGTTCTCCCTAATGCAAATTATGGACTGCAGTTACTTACAACCAATCTAATATAAATAGGATTTATGTATATAGTGTTAATAATGACAATGCTAACTGTGATGCCTATCAAATGAATCTCACATACTGGCTTATCAGTAAATGGTGAAATCAAGATTGGAGGGTCATGTTCTTTAATACATTATCCTAAACCAATGATGGTTCTTAAACTGAAGTCCTCAGATTACCTACACCAAAGTTACCTGAAGTACTTTTTCAAAATGGATATTCCCAGTGAGAAGTTAGTTCCAAACTGTATATCTAATAAGGAGTTACTAACCAAAATATATAACGAATTCATACAACTCAATAGCAAATAACCAAACAATTTGATTTAAAAATGGGCATAGGAATTGAATAGACATTTTTCCAAAGAAGGCACACAAATGGCCAACAGGTCCAAGGAAAGATGCTCAACATCACTAATATCTGGGAAAGGCAAATCAAAAGCACAATGAGATAGCACACCAGTTAGACAGGCTGCCATCAAAAAGACAAGAAATAAGAACTGGCAAGGATGTGAAGAACAGGAAACCCTTGAGCACTGTTGGTGGGAATATAAATTGGTTCTGTACTTATGAAAAATAGTATAGATGTTTCTCTAAAAATAAAAATGGAGGTACTGTATGATTTAGTAATCTGCTTCTGGGTATATAACCAAAGAAAACAGCATCACTATCTTGAAAAGATATTCTACCTCCATGCCTACTACAGCATTATTTATAGTAGCTTAGACATAGAAACAACCTAACGTGTATTGTTGGATGAATGGATCAAAACAGTATGGTATATATACAATGAAATTATTCAGTCATAAACAGTAGGAAATTCTGCCACTTACACACATATGAATGGACTATGTGGACATTATGCTAAATATAATAATCCAGACAAAGAAAGATAAATATTGTATGACCTCACATACATGTGCAATGTAGAAAATCACAAAAAACTGAACTCACAGAAACAGAAAACAGAAGGGTATTTGCTAGAAGTAGGTGGTTAGAGGTGTGGGACATGGGTAAAGGTGGTCAAACATATGAAATTCCTTTTACAAGATAAATTAAGTCCTGGGATGTAATGGGCGCTATGATGAAAAGAGTTAACAATACTATATTGTATATGTGAAATTGCTGAGAGAGATTTTAACAGTTCTCATCACAAGAAAAAAAAAGGTAATGATGTAAACTGATGTATATTAAATTTACTGTACTAATCATTTTGCAATATATACATACGACTAATCATTATGTTGTATATCCTAAACGAATACAATTTTATATGTCAATTATGTTTCAATAAAAGTGGGGAAAAATAAATAAAATGGATGTTCCTGGCTACCACAGCTGACCTACTGAACGAGCATTTCCAGCACTGGGAACAGAAATCAGTTTTAATTAGGTTTCCAGATGTCCATGGGCATTAGCAAAGACTTTGTTTAGCAAGACCTATACATAGTATTCTGAATAAGTCTGAAAATTCACCACCTAAAGCATTGACTTTGACAGGGACACCAACTTTAAGGAGGACTTTATTCCCTGCATTCAATATGCCATCCTCAAATTCTGGCTGCTTAAATACCAGTAGAATTTGCAGTCTCATATCACAAAATGAAAGCCCAAAGTATTCGTAAAGACCTTCAAGATGCAGTTATACTAATGTCTCAGGTCCCTTCTTCCAGCTGTTGTTGTATCCAAAGTCTGAGCCAGTGTTCTCGACAGGAAAGCAATTCTCTCACATGATCTAATGATGGTGTTCTACCATTTCAACCCACTTCCTCCTATTCTGACCTCAGATCAGTGCTAACAGCTTTCGTACCTTTAATCTGTTTTAGTCTTAGGGTAACAAATCTAGCTTCATGCACCTTGACAGGTCAGAGTAAACATTAATCTATAGTGATTCTGACAAAATAATGAGATGTTTGAAAGTAATGTGACTTGTCTTTCCTTCAGTTTCTTCATTGAAAATCAGTAAAGAAATGCATTCATACTTATTTGGGTAATAATATGTAACTTTTTTTCAAAGTATTGCTCTGTGACCTAAAATATTATGCAGAGGCTTTTATCCTATTATCCCAGATGAACACAACACTTAAGTATCTCCTTCATGGCTGTTAAAGCACAGTAGACTCAATTCATGCCCAGGGAGCTTTAATCACAGATCATGGTCATGACAAAGGGTAGAGTCAGTGTAAGCTATCATGGCAATGGCTACTGGGGGAGTTTTTAACGGGAGCATTGCCAGCATGCGGTTCTCATAACTACTTTCAAGGAGCACTTCTGATCTAATGGCTAAATGAGTATCATTACAGGATATTTACATGTAGCATTTCTGGAGAATTTCAATGTAAAGACCAGTGATTGTAGTCAGTGCACACAACTGAAATTGCTTGAGTGATGCAAATATTGTCAATAGTTTTCTGTTTGTTTGTTTTTAAAAATGTATATTTTATTGATTTTTTTTGCAGAGAGGAAGGGAGAGGGATAGAGAGTTAGAAACATCAATGAGAGAGAAAGATCGATCAGCTGCCTCCTGCACACCTCCCACTGGGGATGTACCTGCAACCAAGGTACATGCCCTTGACCAGAATCGAACCTGGGACTTTTCAGTCCGCAGGCCGACGCTCTATCCACTGAGCAAAACCTGTTAGGGCAATAGTTTTAAAGTGATATTGAGAGCGAATTAGTGGCTTATTAACGGGGTAAGCTATTAAATTTTAATTTTTATGGCTCATTATGATACTCATAATTGCGAATAAAGTATTACAGGGGAACCATGGAGAAAATCACATAGCAAAGCAATGAGAAGAATCCTGATAATGATAAAGAGCAGGTTGCAGAGGAGAAAGACTTCTGGTTGGTGAAAACTGATACTTGACTAAGTTTATATGCTGCCCCTGGTGGCATTCCTCATATGTCTTCTTCATTTTTTTTTTTTTTTTGCGTTAAACTCAATTTGAAGCCTTAATCAAAATCTACAGAAACTGCTTTAAAGAATACTGCATTAAGTTTAAAAGAGCCATTATGGCTGAGAGGAAGAACAAGGGAAAAATAAGGGGACCATTTGGTAAAATAAGACATTTCATAATCCAAGGTGAGTTCCACAAAATTGAAAATGTTCTCCTGAATACTTGGAACAGAATTAAAAAAAAAATATGATTTAAACAATGAGCACAAACAAACAAACAAAAACTACCCCAAAACAAATAAACATTAAACAACTCAAACAAAACGAACAAACAAAAAATCGGACAAAATTCCTTTTGTGTTCTGTCATATATTTGACAAAGATGTTGGAGTAGTCTAATTGAATAAAAGGCTATCCAGCTCTCTAGTGTGGAAGTGCAAGGGGCTAGCTACAGTTATGTTTTGCTTAGCCAGTACAGTAATTTAAAAGACTCAAAAGTGAAAGAGTTGATGACTTTAGAAAGTTCATGCAAATATCCAGATTGCCACAGGCCTCACTACTCCTCATTCTCTTACACAGAGCTTCTTCCTATGTTAATAACCCTCTTGCCACATGAGGCTGGGGCTCCTGTTAGTTTCTCACCACATGTGAGAGGACAGATTGTTAGAGTTGGAAGGGAAGGACAGATCATCTTGTCCAACATCCTCACTTAAGGTTAATGCAACAGAAACCGGGGGAGGTAACAGAGATGTGTTTCAAGATGCTAAGTCATCAGCAGAAACTCTCGGGTAGAACTTGGGCTGCTCAGGCACTCAACAACCTTTTGTTGTGTGGCACAGCTGCAAGATTCTAGTTGTACATGGCAATCTTATGCTAAGTTAAATCGGGCCTAAAAGAATAATGTTCGGCTATCCATAACTCATGAATTGGCTTTAATATGGGTCCCTGTTCTTTGGGAATACAAGAAATACCCAGTTTTACAATTTTCTGCTTGACAAACGCCCAATATCCCCCCCCCCACACACACACACACTTTTCATTCACTTTCACAAAGGACTTTTGCAAATTCTGAAATTTTAAGAGACCATTCAGTTCACCATTACTTCAAAACAGGCAATTTTCTGAGAACACGTGACTATCTTAATGTTAAAACAGTACTATTCTAGACGGAAGGGGATAAAATCATGCACAATTATGAGTCCATCGTTACAGCGTTTTCAGGCCATGCACAATTATGAGTCCTGAGAAAGCTACTACTCCCTGTAGTCTCTCTTTCTCAGTGAGGATTATCACCAGGAATCAGTGTATTTGGCCCTCATTTGGTACACTGGGAAGCTTATTAATTCAATACATTCCATGAATGTAAGACCAGAAAAGATAAATCAACTTCACCAAGTAACACTGAACACACGTAACATATTAAACGTCCTTTAAAAGTATAAACACTGTATGGATTGTACAGACACTTTCAGGTTGGCTACTTGTTACAAACTTTTAGGTCAGATTATGAGTCACATTGAAAAGAAAAGGCACTGATAAAGTTAATTCTCAAGAATATGGTTCCAAAGAAGAGATTACTGTCCAAGTATCGACACACCGACTTACCTCATATTCCTGGGAAAACTTCAGGTTGTCATTTGCTTTCAACCTTTCAATATGATCTGCAAGTTCCAAGATAGGTATTGGAGGGTGACTAGCCATACCTAGGGAAAGGAAAGAAGAAACACATTTGAAAACCAATAGAAGTGATGCTAATAATTCCAAAATATAGAAAATGCTATAGTTAGAAATGGCCTGAAAAATGTGTGAGTAGTAAGGATGTCTTATGTGAGGAAGCAGGCAGATAGTTTGGTTACTCAAAGCAGGACATGCTCGGGAAGAATGAATTTTGTAGCCAAATGAAAAGTCACCCAGCACAGTCCATCCCCATATTAACACTCCTGGTGTAGAAGAAAGCATTACTGTGCTATGAACCGATGCGGTTAGCTAGTGGAGAAAACTGACAGTCAGGCTTGATGTCAACTTCTGCTTTGAGTAATGACTATTAGGTCATGTCAAACTCCTTCCCCTGCACTGTGTGAAATGGAAATTGTGTGGAATTAAATGGTGTAAAGTGAACTAAGAAAACGGACACTGAGAAGGCCTAAAGGGAAAAAGGAGTAGCTTGATAGGAAACATAAAGTGACTTATGCATAATCAAGGAAAACTAACTTGACGAATGAAGGTTACCAGGGTAACCGGAATCATCTGAACCTGCAAAGGAAATGATGGTGTAAATAAAACAAAATAGAACGAGTTTGTAAAAAAAAGAAAAAATGAAATGTATAGCCTGGTATACTTTTTAAAAGGGATTAATAAAAATGCAGCAACTTTTTACAGGATTCACTTATACATTGTGACTCGATGAAGATCGCTTTAATACTTCACAAATCTGTAGGTGACTGACATTCACATGCAAACATGGGCGCAAAGAATAGCATGCACCACAGCTCGTAGATGATAATCACTGATGACAAAATCAGACACCAAACTAAGGTGCAAAAATGTTTCCACTAGCAGCAGATTGTAGAAGCTGGGGTTGTGACCTTCTCCTGGGCATTTACAAATGGCCCACACTAGGCTTTGTGGTATTTTACTACCTATGTTCCATTATTCGACCCCCAGTAAACCTACAATCTACCCCAGGTGTAAACATCTTTGTCCACTCATGCGAAATGAATCTAGTGAAAGAACAAGGAGGGGAAAAGGTGAAAAAAGAAAGTCCTGACGGGGTGGGGGTGGTAGGGGTGGTGGCAGGCCCAGCATAGTTCAGTCTGCCAGCTGAAGAATATCAGTTCCACGGATTCAGTTCAAAACAATCCACTGCTAATTTTGACGATTCCTGTGTCTTTCCAATGTTTTCTGACCTTTTCATATGATTTGCATTGTATTTCTTTTGGATTCATTTTTTAAGAGTAACATGAGAAAGAACCTGCTAACTCATGTCTTATCGATACACATTCCAACTGGCTAGAAACACCTGAACGAGCATGCCCCCAGGGGAGCCTCGGAAGCAGACAGAGAGAGAGAGAGGGGCTCAAGCTGGAAGTCATGTTGACAGTCGGCTGTCCCTGGGACTCATTGGAGGGTGTTAGCCTGTGGGACGGTGACCATTAAGTCAACATGACATGCGATTACTTCACGGGCATTTTAGAAATTATGCCATTATTGAAAGTCACCCAGTAAGTTCCTTTATCGCAAATGCCAAATTATCAATAGTTACAGCAAGTTAAACAAAGAACTACTTTGATTCTTCTAGTCCAGTGATGGCGAACCTATGACACGCGGGTCAGAGGTGACACGCGAACTCATTTTTTTGGTTGATTTTTCTTTGTTAAATGGCATTTAAATATATAAAATAAATATCAAAAATGTAAGTCTTTGTTTTACTATGGTTGCAAATATCAAAACTTTCTATATGTAACACAGCACCAGAGTTAAGTTAGGGTTTTTCAAAATGCTGACATGCCGAGATCAAAAGGTTCGCCATCACTGTTCTAGATTATCATTGCAGCACAGTGTTCTAAATTTTGGTGTGGTAGCCTGTTTGGCCACGAAGGGCTGCTTCCAGTTAGTTAAAATCTTAATAGCAGACTCAATAAAAATGAGTCGGTTCAGAAGTAGAATTTGTTGCTGATATAATTATACATTTGGACCAAAATGTTGGAGCCCATTTCTGGAACTTTCCCATATAGATGATAGCATTGAACTAATTTACGTTCTGTGGAAGGCAGGGGTGGGTGACAGTGGTCTCGCAATTAAAGTGATCTTATCCAGATGAGGCACCCCCAGTGGCAAGAATGGAGATGCAAAGGCACAAGACTGTAGGCTTGTCTGGAAATGGAAATGGAATAATGTGAACATCCATTACAGTGCTTTAACAGAGAAAACAACAGAGACAAAGATGTTTAGACCTTTTCGAGCGAATCGTGGGAGAGAGTTATTATCATATATGGACTGAGTGGTGGTTTGGCTAGAGAGGGAGGACACAGAGCCAATCAGGGAGGCGTAGGGGACTGAATTACTGCTCAAAGCTGCAAAACGAAAGCCAGTTGGAGATGGGAAAAGTATTAGTATAACAGCAGCAGAAGACCATAATCATCAACCAAAGATGCGATCAACATATTCACTTCTGGCATGCACTGGCAAAATGGTCTGCACGTATTATTTTGGAAGCCAATTATAGAGAAATCCAAGCAACCCTGCCCTGACTGCTTACATTCTAAACTAGGATATACATATCACATTCAAAGATACCACAGCATTCAAGAATCATTAGCCAGAAGACGTGTCAGTATGCAATGTCTCAGCTGAAGTTATAGAACAAATAAAAATGGCAGAATGGGTGTTTCCCAGGAAAAGGAGAACCTGTGGGAATCTGATGACATAGAAGAAGGAACCCTAGACTAGAATACTGGACATGAATCCCACTTCTGGTTCTGCCATCTACTAACAGGGACAATCGATTGTGATTAAGCACTTCAATTTGCTTGTGTGTAAAATAAAAGTGCAGAGTTAGATAAATCCTAGCGTCACTTCTTTCTTTGTGACCCCTTTTTACCATATGTAGAAGGGATCTGTGAACATATGGAAGAACAGAGAAGGTGCTCTTAGATGTAGTTCATGTATAAGGGTTCTAAAAGTTATAGCTCCTTTTCTTTGAAGGGAGGTGAACATTTACTTTCTGCAAGACCCAAAACTATTATGCAGTTTAATATTCTACTTTCTGAGTTGAGTTTAACACCATTTTCTTTAGCTAACCAAAATGCCTATCGTGTATTAACATAAAAATTATGCTAGAGCATAAATCTGGATGAAAGTCCTCTAATAGGAAACTCTTTAGCTCATATCAGAAAATAATCACGAAAGGTCTATTCTTTACAACATAGTGTTATATTATTCCCCCCAGACTTCTCCATTGTCCATCACTGATAGGGACTTATCTACACTAATAAAAGAGAAAAATGGTAATTGGCGTACGATGATACCCTTTTCATTGGCTAATCAGGGCTATATGCAAGTTAACTGCCAACTAAGATTGGCAGTTAACTACCAACAAGATGGCGGTTAATTTGCATATGTAGGCACAATGCAGGGAGGAGAAAGGGAAAGCAGGAAGAAGCCCCCTGCCACTGATAGTGATCGGAAACCCAGGGGGGAGCTAAGAGCTGGGGGGCAGGGCAAAGGGAG